GAGGAGCTTTGTTGTTTTCCATTCTGTGGATGTTTAGGGAACACGACCATCATAATCTGTTGTTTACAGCTGATACTGTATAGCTGTTTTCAGAAGTCCAGACAATTTCCGGAAATTTTCCAGTGAGTCTGTATGTTAGAACGCAAATGTCACAGTCATTTGCTCTGGACAATTTCCAGATATTTTTCCTGCCAGCTCCCTGGTAAAATGTCTGAGTTAATCCATGTGGGACATTTCCATTTGCCACAGACATAAAACGTTGCATATTACCCTGTTGTTGGGAACGCGTCTAACACAGAGAAGCTTCAACTGCCTTCTTCATAGGTTCAAGACAAACCCCAGAATAATGCCAGGAAACTGCGTCCGGACAGTTCATGTCTGAAAACACCTTATGTAACATACTATCTTCTGATTCACTGATGTGACATGTATTTGTTTGACAATCTGAGGGCAACAGACAGCTGATATGCACTGATAAAGGTTGCTCAAGGACACTTCAGCAGTGTGGTTAACTGCCCCCTTCGGTATTGGACCTGAAGCTGATGGAGGGTGAGACCATATTGAAAAAAGATACCGACATCCTGCTCAGTGTTGTTTGCTGCTTTGTGACCAACAAATAAACATGAACAAAAGTAGTTGGTATTCACTAGTAAACTGCCTTTGGGTTTTAGACTAGTTGTTGGAGAGGAAACCTTTTTCTAAGTATAATATTATTATCAGGCATCATGAGTAAATGTGTTCACAGTGTAACTACAGCTGCAGGCAGATGGCACTATACTGACACGATTCATGTCCTGACACCAGTTCACAGTGTGCATCACTAAAGATGAATGTTTTAGTTTTCTGGGCATTTGGAGGAAAAACATGATCTATTGCCTAAATGAGTAATAAAAAAATCATAATGTAATCCTGACAATTACTTTTCCAAGAAGTTTTCAACATCCAGCACACAAACAAATCATGGAGCGGCTCATCTATGTAAGTGATGTTTGAAACGCTTAAACTGACATTATTTGTTGCATTCTTTTCCTCCATTGTATGAATATCACACCAATCTTCCCATGTAACAATCCATTATGCAGGAAACGCTCATAAAAAGCAAAATGGGCTTGCATCTTTTTCCTGGAGATATGGTGATTAAATCATGTATAATGCATGTGCACCACAATGATATACATAATGAGAAGAGAGGCACAGTGCAGCTCTCTATGGAGGAGGGATAATGATGGAGATGAGACTTGAATTCAACCAGTGAGGTTGCTGTGGTAATAAAAGAGAAGCCAGACTGTTGACCAGTTTGTACTGGCGAGGCTGAAACTGTGGGCCTGCGATCCTTTTCTCCTACAGACTGATAAGACTCAGCAGAGAGGGAGAGACTGCACAGGGGGGAGGAGAAGTGAGGGATAATGACAGGGAGGAAGAGAGAGAGAGAGGGAGGGAGGGAGGGAGGGAGGGAGTGAAAATAACTACATTTACAAGCACACAAGAAACCAGGATACTGTGAGAAATCAGGTTAGGGCAGAAATCAAGGGACACGTTTACACAGTTAATTCCTCAGTTGCTGTAAATCTGAATATACATGCAGCTGATCTGTTATCACATTTCTTCACAACTCCTCTGACGGGTTTGTGAACCAAAGCTGAAACATTGGGATTATTTGTGATACAAACAGCAGCGGTTTTCAGCATCTGGGCTGATGTCAGAGTGAGAGGACTGGGTCTGCAGAGAGAGAGAACAGGTCTCTTCTTACTGTGCATGTAAAGCTCTAAGGTTCTAAAACAAGCAGCATAATGCAGCTTGTACATTGTTCAATTATATTTTACTCTCATACATTACTTACTGTGTTAAGTGAGTTAAAAAAATGTTTTATCACTTTATATGCGCATTGTGTATAATGTAAAATATAAATTACTGCCTGAAACAGATTAGTTGTCAGATACATACAGACAGCAACACAACTGCCATAATTCATGTCACAATCCAAAGTTATACAGTAAACACACACACACACACACACACACACACACACACACACACACACACACACACAGTCTGGATCTGTACAGCAGCGTCAACAATGCAGTTAGTTTAGGGCTGCGATGGCAGAAGGGACAAAACTTCTGCCAAAAGTCCTGCGTCTGTGACCAGACGGCAAAAACCAATGAAAGCAACCAAACGTTAAAAATGAGAAAAAAATGACATGAGAGGAAATATACACGGAAAAGAAAGAAATGGTCAGAACTGTTGTAAAATCTATATTTCAGTTTATGATGTGAATTTATAGAAGAGTTATAGCGAGGAACTGAAATTGTGCAGCATGAGTATGAGAAAGAATAAGATTTTATCTGATGCTGCTTTTAGAGGATTTTGTTTGTTTATTCTTTTCTTGGATGTGAACGAACAAGTACAACACAATGAAAATCATGTTATTTTAGCCCTGTATTTAAACAGTTTGATTGTATCTGGCCTCTCTTTGTGACGAGAGGCACAGACCAACCCTTGTCCTTTTTGGCTTTCTACTGCACTGCTATGTTGACATTTCCATTTCTTATTTGTCTATTTTCTTTTACACCAAATTGTTTATTACAAGCAGACCAAAGCAATTTTCAAGTTTCTCTTTCACGTGCCTCTGAATGTTCAAATAACCACTTCAGCTGTGAAAACAAGACTTATTTATTCCAATTCTAGATGCAAGGACACAGCAAACAAGTGATAATCTTTCATTCTTTGGTCTGTCGTGCACATGTGTGCTTGTAAAAACCCTGTTAGAACCACAGCTAAGCACAAACATGGCCAACAAATCAGCCTTCTCCAGCACAAAATAAAAACCGAGTAAGCGGGTGGGGGAAGGGAGTTTGAGAAATGAAATGGGAGGCAAGGCAACAGGAGAAGGAACAACAATGGGGGAGAGCAGGGGGTTGAGGGGGGTAGTAGCATTGAACAGTAATCAGAAAATCACAGGGAAGTCAACAAGCAGAGAAGAGAAAGTCTGAGAAAGTATGTGTTCGGGAGGGAAGAGACCACCAGTAAAATTCTGCCCACGACTGGGGAATCACAATTAATCAAGTGGTTTCATTACTGCCCTCCATTATTATTAGGTTTAAGAGGGTCATCACCTCTAAGCTGCGGCTGAATTCCATTTTTTTTTAAGCCGATTCGGTTCATCTAATGATGTGCACCATCTTCCTCTGGGCTTTGCCTCCCCTCACTCATCCCTCCACACTCTCCGCTTCTCCGAGACCAATATGATCAACATGCATTATTTATTGGAAAGTACGTTTGTGTTTTTTTGAAAGTACAGTATGTGCAGACGGTTGTATATCTGTGCGTGAGGGACTGATTCAAATGAGGGGAGGGTGTGTTCTGCAGGCACAGGTGTACGCCTGTGTGATTTCATCACTTTGCATGCAAATTTTAACCGAGGACGGCCACAGAGATGGAGCGATGATGGAAGACAGAGGGAGAGAGTGTGTGTGGAGACAGAGAGGGAGGTGAAATGTACAGGAAATGGATAGAGTGAGAGAGGGAAAGGGAAGAGGAGAAAGATGGTGTGATGACAGAGCTGCAAGCGCTGTGTTTGTACATGCATCTGCAGGCAAATTAATCACGAGATGGTCTTGTACTCTATTAAAATGCTAATGTAGGAAAACCTAGACATTTCCATATATTTGCAATATATCCCAGAGCCCTAAGAGTGTTATTATGCTAAATGAATGCTGGGTGCTGAATGCACAGCTAATATCATGACAAATTTGACCAGGATAAAGCCAAGATTAAAAGTCTCTTAAGTAGTAAATTAAAGGGTAGAGTGGATACAGATGTGACGCTTCAACGCAGGGTCTTCATGAAATTAGACAAGATAAAATATCAGATGTGTGAATTATTCTCTCAATCTGCTTCCTATATCTTTTAGACCAAATGAATGAGAAATGCAGGTTTTTTCTAAAGGTTCAGTGTGTGAGATTTAGGTGAAAGGGATTTTTGGCAGAAACTGAATATAATATAATCCTAGTGATGTTTTCACTGGTGTGTTTCATCTAAATTGTACGACTTGTTGTTTTCTTTGCCATAGAATGGAGTCTTTATATCCAAACTACAAATATACACATACAATGAAACTATAATGACATTTAAAAGAAATTACAGCACAGCAGTCCATACATAACAATTAACATCCAAATAAGTGCCATTATTCAGCTATTATATATTCTAAAAAACTATCCAGCGACTGAATGCCATTCTCAAAATTCAGATCCATAAAATATATTATGTATAATTTATTATTTATGTATTGGTTTTAAGCTTGTGAGTTAACTGCAGGATCATCAATGGAGATAAGCACATGAGTACAGTACAACTAATACAATATATAAAGTCTGTGAAGTCATGTACGAGAATCTGAGAAGACGAGTTCTGCAGCTTTTAATTTTTTATGTTGAATGATGGATTAATAAACTAATTAATATTTAACTTTTCGCCTCAGAGAAATTAGCATTTCTTAAAATTAAATTATATTTTTTATTGCTGTAACTTCTCTGCGTCCCATCAATGCATTAGCTGCCAGGACTGGCAGGAAGTCTTTTTACACAACAGACAAAACACATATGTCAGTGTTTTCAATATTATAGTAATAATATACTGATATAAATAACCAGAACCCCAGAGAGTAAAGAGGTAGAAAGAAAACAAATGGAGGTTGGGAGAGAAAAAGATAGAAGGGGAGTTTATGATGATATCCTGAACTCGTTAGCAAACAGTTGCTTATTTATAAATTCAGCAGACGCAATTGTCGTGTTTCTGGCCGCCTGGTAAAGTAAATTCAATATTTCCAGCTGCCTGCTGTGGCACCATGAGAACAGGGAGAGTAAACCAGAACATAAAAGTTGTGGTGTGATACAGCTAAACTCAACATTTTTTATGTTTAGCCATTGTCATTTCATATATTGATACTACAAAACTCTTTTATTAAAGCCACTTTAAATGACAAAAGCCAGACTCACATCTTTCCTCACCTAGACTTGTGGGCTTGATGAGCTCGTCCAGCATGTCATAGAAGGGGAGCCTCTGGAGCTTGACATCTGGATGGACCGGGTGCAGTGTGGCTGAGGTGGGTAGATGATGCGTCAGCCCAGTCAGCTCATGTTTCCCAGGGCCGAGCAGTGAGAGGGGCAGTAGGGCAGCGGGCGAGGGGGCTCCACCGTGACCGGCATGACCCTCATAAGCCAGCTGTGTCAGGCCAGCGGGCAGCACGGCGCCCCCTCCTCCAACCATTCCAGCTGTGGCTGGGTGGTGCGGTCCAGGCAGGGCCAGCTCTGAGTGGGACACCATTTTGGCAGGAAAGCGTCGTCTGTAGAGCTCTTTGATCTTCATGTGCACAGCGGGGCTGCAGCCGGCCTTCAGCAGATACAGCGCCTTGGTCAGCAGCTCATGTTTGCGTCCGTGCTTGTTGCGCCCAGCATAGCCTAGCAGCACCTGTAGCTCTGACACCCGCAGGCTCATCACCATTTGCTGAAATGGGAAGCAAATGGGAAATAAGATCAGAAATCATCTCTTAAGATGCAATGCCAAAACCAATGTCTCCTGACATGTAAGTGCCAGGAACCTGTTCCAGAATGGTAATGACAATCATTAATATTGTCTTAAAACAGTTTCAACTTAACAAACCTTGTTAAGACAAAAAACAAACTGCTAAGACTGTTAAGGAAAAAACAGGAAATAAAAAACGTCCCTGTTTATAGAACAGTGGCCACAGATTGCGTAACTTGTGTGCTGAACACAACACATTGACAACACCACAGACTTATGAGAGGCCACAAACTATTATAAACTAGTTTGTGTGAAAGCAGCGATGCTCTCAGCTTGGCTCGGGGAGGAGCAGGAGGGGGTTATTCAAGAGGAAGATGGCTGCTCTGCTCGTCCTTCTGCCAACCTCAACCTGATCAGGTATGAAAACAATTGTATGGATTGAATTTTAAATGTATTATTGGATATATTTGCATCAATATTTATTAGGTGTGATGCAGGTGTGAGGCTTCTTAACAAAGCCAACGGCAGAGCTGAGGGTCCCCACACATAAAGATACCTTAGGTCAGCACAGCTGGCTGTTTGCCAAACAGATGTTTAAAACACACGCACACACACAGAGTAGTTCACCACCTGGCAGAAAAGCATTTGACTGCAGTGCATACAATAAAAGTCTGAGTACAGCGACAGCTTCATTTTCTGTCAGCTGGATCAGCACCTGTCCTAATACCACAGACACCATTGATTCTGGGAAGCAGAGCCCTTAATGCAAAACATGTCCTTCTCAGTTGAAATGAGAAAAACCAACGAAGGATTTTCTCTGGCTCAACACGAGGCTCAACGTGAGGCTGAAGCGGTTCATCTCTGGAGGCAGTGGGATAGAGAAGCTGCAAGAGGATTCTGGGAAAAAGCAATGAAGGTTCAGCATAGGTTTGAACAAAACTACAGAAAGTGCAAGTAACACTTCACCTAACCACATTATTTGTTCAGATATGTGACTGTGTGATCTCTCATTATCCAGCTCGTGTTACACCCTCCTCTCAGGTGAGAAGTGGCAAGTGGCCATGGCTCAAAATCTGAAGAAATTCCTTAAAGGCAGACTTCACGAGGCCAAACACAAATTCTGTGAGGCCACCATGTAGAAAATTAGAAGAAATTCCCTCCAGGTATACCTGAGATACTTCATTAACAAGACCAAAGATGTGTTTTGCAAGTTCTCAGAGAGATTCACCTTTAGCCAAAGAAATCTAATCAGTTCCTCCTTGAGTCCAAATGAACATATGAGCCATATTTGAAAGTGTCCCCTTGATTTGTTCCTGCTATATCACATTCACAAGGGAACAAATGTGTTTTGTTAGGTCACGGCCAGCGTGACATTTGTCCTTTGATCACTGAAAGCTCATAGTTTCGTTCTAAAGCCGAACTGAACGTTTTGAACCAACTTTGAAGAAAGAGTTGATGAGACGTACGTGTACATATAAACGGACAGCCTGAAGAGCCCACACATTAAAAAGCCATTGATGGTGTGTCAGAAAGCGAGAACTCACTCCACAAGGTCTAATAATGGAACTGGTCCTAACAAAGACAGCAGTATATGAACACACACACACACACACACACACACACACACACACGCATGTCTTGTAAAAACCTCCTGCCTTCATCTCTTTTAATGACAGAGAGAGGATAAAAAAAAAAACAGATGCACACAAACACACGCCCCTTAAATGACAAAGTACACAGGGCTATTAGTGCCCAGTGTGTCAGTTTCCATTAGCCTACACCCACAGTAGTTATTACTGTTGCTATGCACAGAACGTGCAAAGGATCAAACCTTTACGCATCGATTCCTTTTCTTACTATAATGCTCATTCTCCTTAAGTTACTCTGAAGTTCTGCATTCAATTGACATTTAAAGGACTGGTGTGTGCAGCTTTTTACACTTGAAAAATGAAAACACTAACATGCACAATACAAACAATGCATTATTATCCACATATCAAAATTAGTTTACATCATTTTGAAACGACAGAGCCCTTACCTCACTCGTTAGCTTTTGTTTTATTTCCTCCCGGCACTTTTTCATGATGCAGGAATACTGCCAAACTTATTCTACAGCTGCGCTACTTTGCTTTGAGTATCATCTTAATGTTAAAGAAAGAACTATACTTTAACCCCTCTCATTTTCTGTGAGTGCGAGTGGCCCAGGTGTGAAAGAAACCGCTCCATCTCATCAAACCGCAGGACGGTGTTATATCAATATAAATGGCATATTAACAGGGAGGAAGTGAAACCTCCACATGTTGCAGTTTACTGTAAAACCGGTTTCACTTTTGCAAACTTAGCTTTCAGAACCTGCAAGTGCAACAGACCAATAAGTGAAACAACAGTTGAGACATCTGAAGCCAACAAAAACATCTGATGCAGAAATTTTAGGCAAAACAAACCATGGATCTGTTCTGAAGTGTTGATTTAAAAGGAACGCAAATTAATTCAGAATTAATTAAAGATTAGAAGTAGATTTATTCTTTCACATAAATCTAATGGTAAAATTAGAGATACCTGAATGATCAGGGATGATCACATTAGTAAAAAAAATCATTACATTAAAAAGTGCAGTTACATTCTCAAATGTTTAAAAAGTTTTAACACCCACAGAAAATAATAAAATCCTTTTCATGAAGCTGTTCTCCTTTCAGGAACAGACCATTTTAGACAATCTGGGCCTGGACCAAGCTTCACACTGCTCAATGTGACACGGCAGCGGCTGCTGTTTACAGACTAAACACTGCATCTTGTGTACAGCTGCCACATACGTAAGGCCACGCGCACACATCCCCTCAGGGGACTTAGCTTACATTTCATGAGCTGTTTTCAGACATGACCTGCAGGTAAAATCCTGAGAATTGGCTCCAGAGTTTACCCGCAGTTTGCCTTTCACACATGCACAAAGCAGAGGGAGGTTTCTGCGCAGATGCGTTCACAACAGCAACAAATCTTCTGCTTTATTTACTCAGACACTTGCGTTCAGCGCATGTCTGAAAGAAGCTATGGAGTCTGAGGCTGTTTTCACTGAGAAATTTGATCCTGTAAGTCGAGTTGAAGGAACAAACTGACGTATTTAAAAGCTGAAACACAGAACAGAGGTTTGTAGTACTGACAGGATTTTACAACCCTGGAGAGTTATCATGTTCACAACTGTGGCGACGATGCTGAGGAACACGATTTCACAGAGATTTAGAAGTTCACCAGCAACAAGCTGTTGCATGTGTGTGACTGGCCAATACTGTGACTTGTCGGATGGCACTATGTTGTGTTGCCTGAAGAAGTTGAACCAGACTCGGCTTCATTGCCCGACAATGCAGCTACATTTTGTCGACTTCCCTGTGATAAACCCGCAGCTGTGTTTTAATAACCACTGTCTGAACATACGTGACATTACTTTACTCTAAATCTAACACTAACTTTAAATCTTCTTATCCCCAAAAGGAAGTAAGGACCCGTGAGTGTGACTGTGCTGAGAGATTTATGTCTCCCCATCATTAGTGATATAACTACTCACACATGCACATGGGAAATAACATTCAGATGTTTTTATCAGTCAGGACAACGACCTGTTCTTGTCCTTTGTCACGACACACATATGGTGAAGAAACATTCAGGAGGAGGAAGAGAATCAGGAGGCGGTCGCCCATATGTGAATGTAATTCTGATGCCTTCAGTCTGAACCACACTGCGGTTATAAAAACACATCAGTCATTCGCAGACGGCTCCTGCAGGAGGATGATGAAGCAGGAAGCAGCTGTCTGTGTATGGATTCTCAACATTTACAGAATAATTTGATAATTCAATATTTTTCTGTTTATTATATATAGACTTGGATAGCACACAGGGACACACACACACACACACACACAGAGTGTTGTGTGTCTCCTGTTGGCGACATAAATGACCAGTTCCATGAAATATGCATGTGGAAGAGGGGGATGTGAAAAAATGATGACACTGCCTGCCCACAATTTCTCTTTCCCTCACACACACACACACGCATTCGCACGCACACCTTAACACAAACACACACCAAGGCCCCCCCCCCCCCCCCACTCTCTACAAAGCAAACACTCACAAGAGAGAGACAAATACACACAAGCACAAACACTGGCTCACATAAACCTGAAAAACACAAACACACACA